ACAATAACAATAAAATTAATAAAAGTGGGTACAAACATCAACCATGCATTACATACATATCACATACATATCCCATACAAAAAGAAAAAATCGCGCAGCTGTTAGAAAGTGCAAGGTTCGCACACAGTTTGTGGTGGATTCGTAAAAGTCTGGTCTGCTGAAGATGTAGAAAAGGAGCAAAAGTCTGGAGTGGCAGAGGAGGCGTCCCTAGGGCGGCCAAAGGTGATAATAGTCAAGCAAATGGGACTAGTTCGTAAGTCCAGAAGCCCAAGGTCCACAAACAGAGGGAGCCAGATGGCAGGAGAGGAGGCCTCGCAAATGGCAGGAGAGGAGGCCTCGCAGATGGCAGGAGAGGAGGCCTCACAGCCATAAGGATAGAGCGGAGGAGAGGCCGCACCGCAAAGAAGGCCGCAGAGAAGGCCCAATCGAGTGGGGCGGAGGGGGGGGAGGGCGCCCAAGAGGGCCGCGGCAGGAACAAGGAAAGCCAGTTGCCCGATCTCATCCGGCACCATAACAGATCGCTCACCCCCTCTCTGAAGCAAAACAAGCTGGTATAAGTTCGGGGGCTCCTCCAGGCTCCTCTCAATCGCGAAAAACAAAGCCAGAAGATGTCCGGAACGTCGCAAGCCAATGAAGCGATGGGGGGGGGGGCACCTGGGAGGAACGCGTCGGCGGCTGCGGCGGCAAACAAGGCCAGCCGCCCGATCTCTTCAGTGCCATCCTGAATCTGCCACCCCCTCTCTGGCACGGTAGTCCACTGCGAGTCTAAGTCCAAGGCTTCCCCCAGTCGAGGAGTCAGAAAGCGAGGTCGAAGAACACTGGGGCCATTGAAAACCGCCGGGAAACCGCGCCGTCAGCGCGATGCCATTCTCTTTACAACCAGATGGTAGGAGGACTACCGAGGGCGGTCGCATGGACTGGGAGCCGCTCGAAAGACGGCGACCCCCCAATAACCGCCTGCTCGTGTCCCCTGGGTCACCCTCTACCGCTGGGGCTCCTTCCCGTATGGATTCTGGCTAGGTTCAGTGGTATTTTTTAGCGTTTTTTTGCCTACCTAGCCGGAGCGGGGAAGAACAGCGACCATCCACGAAGAAAAATCCCTGAGGACGAGGGCGGCCAGAGGGCGACCGGAGAAACGCGCCACCAAAAGTCAAGCCCACGTCGCCCCAAAAAGGCAGGCCCAAGAAGATAGCGGGTGGCAGCGGCAGATAGTAGCGGGAAGGCGGCTTGATGTTTTAAGTAGCCAGGATCACAGCAGCCGGAGTATGGACAAAGCAAAAGTCCGCAGCGGTGGTGGTAAAGAGGCAGAGGGCCGCGATGGAGAAAGAGGGGGGGAGGGACGTCAGTGGCGGCAGTAAAGAGACCAGCCGCCCAGTCCCAACTCACCAACCCCTCCGAGGATATGGAATTCAGTGGGTGAAAACCGCATCCCAATGCAGCTCTGCGGCACCCTGTATTAATGAGCTGAGGCTGCGGCGGTTTGAAATCGGCGCTGGAGTTGTTGTCAGCTGGAATGCCACCTGCAAGAAACTGCGTCGCCTGAGGGCCCTTCTAAGCCGATTGGAGCCGCTCGAAGCCGCTCAGAGTTGTTTGGAGCAGCGTTCTTTTAAGTAAGCGGCTTTTCAGGACCCTCTTGGCTCTCTCTCCCACAGCCTTCGTTTTAATGAGTCTGGTGTCGGCAGAGGATTCACATTTTGTTTGTTTCTTCCCTCTCTGAGCCTGAGCGGTGAGCTCAGGCAGCCATCTTCCCCAGCGCCTGCGCATTAAAGTCTTGAGCAACTGAGATAATTGTTGAAACAAAGGAAAATGTATTTTTCTATTGTAAAGGAAAGCTGCTAAGGATTCCATTGTAAAGAGGATGGGATATCTGTGGTTTGTTACCTCCTGCTTCCTAGATGCAGTTATTTTAGGTGAGGAATTTTTACTGTTTTTTTCCTGTTAGGTTTAAAAGGCTAGTTTGGCAGCGGAAACATAGCCATGTTTTAGTTACACATTAGCCTGGGACTGGTCTAGTTTACATATGCAAGTGGGGGGGGGGGGAGCAAGGACAGCAGAGGGAAACGGTGAAAGTTTGCAACAGGAGAGGTGCAGGGAGCAGAGGTGGTATTCAGCAGGTTCTGACCAGTTCTGGAGAACCAGTAGTGGAAATTTTGAGTAGTTTGGAGAACTGGTAAATACTACCTCTGACTAGCCCTGCCCACATCTATTCTCTGCCTCCCGAGTCCCAGCTGATTGGGAGGGAATTGGGATTTTGCAGTAACCTTACCCTGGAGTGGGGAGGGAATGGAGATTTTACAGTATCCTTCCCCTGGAGTGGGGTGTGAATGGAGATTTTACAGTATCCTTCCCCTGCCATGCCCATCAAGCCACGTCACGCCCACCAAACCACGCCCACAGAACCAGTAGTAAAAAATGTTGCATCCCACCACTGGGTGGGAGGCAGAAAGGAGAAACAAAGAAAAAAAGGGGAGAGTTTGGAAAAGAGTTTGCAGGTTTATTTTATTATTTATCAGAGTTATTTTTAGATTGTTTTAGTCTGTGTGCTTTTATGTTTTATCTGTTTTTAGATTTTTTGGGTTCTGTATACTATCCAGAGTGCTTTGGAGTTTGGGTAGCTATAACAAATTTGAAAAAAGAAATAATTTTCCGTTTTACACGTTTAACTTACCATGTGTCTACGAAGTATTGTTTGACTCTTCATATATTTGAGGCAGAATTCACACATGTAGAGACGCCCAAGCCGGGCATACTCCTCTGGGTAGGGAGAATGGTACCAGGTGTCCAGTTCATAGCGGCCGAAAGCAATTGTTTTGATCATGTTACTACCTTCAGTGATTTGGCCCTGAAGTCGCAGCTTTTCCTAGTTACAGAAATAATGGCTCGATTATTGAAAAGAAAAGATAAAATTATTTAAGCCACTGTAAAATCTTATAATTATGCTAGAAAATTCACTACAGTTCATATTAAACCCTCAGAAAGAAAAGAAAAGCTGTAGTAAGATACTTTCTAGGTAACTGCTTATTTTACATTGCCATTAGATATACAAACTTCCGGTTTTATCTCTTCCCAAGAAAGTTTGAGCAGTCAACCCCCCCTCCCTTTTTTTAAAGCAGCGAGACACTTATATTGTGTAACTCTCCCCAAAATCCAAAGGGCATTAAGTTTAACACACTGCAATGCACTTCCCACAGTGGTTTTGGAGGGCTGATACAAAAAAATACCATATGAGCTGAGACTGTGCCCCTGTGGACAAGGGGCTATCAAAACTTACAGCTATACTGTGTCTTCTATAAGGACTCATGGACCCACTTTATAACACCTCACCTGATAAAATACCCAGGAAACACTGATCTCTTCTATGTACAACTGCTGTTATCAGATCAGTATGAAGCAGTTTCTTTGAACATAGCCAAATTTTGTTATACGGTATGCAAAATTAGGCAGACTCTCACTGCCCACTGATAATTCACCACTAATTGTAATATATTACTTTGTCTGCTTTTTATTTTTATTTCATTATTATTAATGTTTTTATTCGCAATAGTGGCCTGTGACTGTAATAGAAATTGATTGATAGACTTCCTGTTTTATAATCAAGAGAAAAGTGAACCCATCATGACTGCTCCAGTAAATTTTGATCCTATTGAAATGTGGGATTGAGGTAACAACTAACATGCAATCATATCAGACAAACACAGAATTACAAGCTGCATTAATGTAAATATGGTTTATGAGTTTGCAGCTCAGCACAGCACAATGCTATCATATTCAATGAACCATTTATTTATTGACCACCCATCTTACCACAGGGTAACTCTGGGTGGCTTATAATATGAAAAAGATAAAATTATATACAACTTACACACAATAAACACAAACAGTGTATGTGTATTGTATTAACACACAATAAATAGTGGGACATGGGGGAGGAGGAGCCAATGTCATGACGACACATCGCACGGACCCGACAGTCCAGGTCCGTCGATGAAACTTTTGTCCTTGGACGGTCTGGTAGGACCTAAACCGTCCCGAAGAGATGGTGACAGGGAAGCCAAAGCCTTGCTGGTCACAGGGACACTGCAAAGTCCCTGTTTGACCCAAGGGTAGTGCTTCCAACCAAAGACAAACAGGCAGCCCCAAGGCTGGCATAGTCGGAGACCGCTCCTGAAGGAAGAGACGAAGCAAAAGCATTCCATCTGGTGAGGTGTTTT